TGATTTCTTTTTGTCACTAAATATTTTTCTATGGATGTACCACTGTTTGTTTTTCCCTTCATCTATTGAAAGATATCTTGATTGCTTCCAGTTTTTGATGAATACGAATAAAGCTGCTTTAAACATTAGTGTGCAGATTTTGGTGTGGACATAAAATTTCCATTTTGGGGGGTAAATATGTAGGAGCAGGATTGCTGGATCATACAATAAGTGTTTAACTTTGTAAGAAACTGCCTGTCTTCCAAAATGGCTCTACCATTTCATATTCCCACCAGCAAAAATGAAAGTTCCTATTGTTCTGCATCCTTGCCAGCAATTGGTATTGTCAGTTTTTTGGATTTTAGCCATTCTAATAGGTATATATTGATATCTCATTGTTGTTTTAATTTGCATTTACATTTCCCTAATGACAAAGGGTGTTGAGTATCTTTTCAGGTGCTTGTTTGTCATATATATATTTTCTTTACTGAGTTGTCTGTTTAGGTCTTTTGCCCATTTAAAAAAATCGGATTGGTTGTTTTCTTGTTGAATTTTAAGAGTTCTTTGTACATTTTGGATACAACTCCTTTGTCAGATATGTGTTTTGCAAATATTTTCTCCCAGCCTGTGGCTTGTAATTTCCTTCTCTTAACAGTATCTTTTGCAGAGCAGATGTTTTAAATTTTAATAAGCTTAACTTACCAATTTTTTCTTTCATGGATCATGCTTGTGGTGTTGTATACAAAAACTCGTCACTAAATTGAAGCTCATATAGATTTTTATCCTGTGTTTTAGAAGTTTTATAGTTTTGCATTTTACATTTAGGTTTATAATCCAGTTTGAGTTAACTTTTGTGAAAAGTATAAGGTCTGTATCTATGTTCTTCTTTCTTTATTTTTATTTTTTGCACATGGACATCCAGTTGTTCCAGCACCATTTGTTTAAGAGATTATCCTCTCTCTATTCAACTGTTTTGTTCTTTTGCTAAAGATTAGTTGCCTATATTTTTGCAGGTCTATTTCTGAACCCTCTATTCTGTTGCAGGGATCTATGTGGCTATTCTTTTGCCAATACCATGCTATCTTGATTACAGTGAGTGTTTTCTCTTTTTAAAATTATACTTGAGGATTTTTCTTTTTATACCTTTGTGAGCCAGTTTTGAATTTCTTTGCTAATTCTGACAATTATCTATATTTCTTTTCTTGAACTTGTTATTGTTTTCTCTAGCTTCTTCAGTTAAACTAGTTAAGCTCATTTTATTTTCTCTTAAAATATGTGTCTGCTAGGGCTGCCATAAAAAAAATACCACAGACTGGGTGGCTTAAACAGCAGAAACTTATTTTCTTACAGTTTTGGAGGCTAGACGTCTAAGATCAAGGTATTGGAAAATTTGTTTTTTGGTGAGGTCTCTCTTCCTGGCTTACAGACGGCCACGTTCTCACTGTGTCCTCACATGACCTTTTCTCTGTGCACAAGGGAAGAAGAGGAGCGGGGTGAAGATATCTCTGGTGCCTCTTCCTCTTCTTGTGAGGACACCAGTTCTATTGGATTAGTACCCCACCTAATAACCTCATTCAACTTTAATTACCTCCGTAAAATACAGCCACACTGGGGGTTAGGGCTTCAATGTATGAATTTGGGGGGGTTACAGTTCAGTCCATAACAATATGATAAAAGCCCCATTGCTATAAATTTGTTTCTGCATATAGATTTAGCTTTGTACTACATTCTTTGTTGTATGGTATCATCATTATTCTCTACAGGTTGTTATTGTACTCTTATTTCTTCATTGACTTTATAGTTAATTAGAAAATGGTGCTTTTCCCTTGTTCTCCAGGATTTTTTTTAAGCTCTCTGTTTTAAAAGTCAATGTGGAAATCTATAACACTGTGGGCATTGTTTTGATATTTTGAGTTAATTGAAATTTCCTCTGTAGGCTAATAGGGTGGTTCTTAATTGTAGGGGACATTTGGATGTGTGCATTTTTGGTTGGTGTCATGATGTGCAGTGGGAAGAGGTCAGTTTCTACCTAATCGGGGCAAGTGAGAACTTCTGGTTCTCTTCTATGCCACAGGCCAGTCATGCCATTGTATGTCATATGTTTCTCTCTGTGTGTGTGTTGGGGTCGGGAGGAGAGAGAGAGAGGGAGAAAGAAAGGGTGAATATATTAGGCCCTGTCTTCCTCTAAATATGCCACACTGCCATTGCTGCTTTGGAGCTGTCAGGGGTAGGTGTGGAGCACTGTGTGTGGAGTCTCCTCCCAAGTTCCAGGTATGCAGTGAGGCAGAGCCCACAGGGCTCTGGTTTTCCCATTCTCTTTGGTGATCTCTATCCAACTCCAAGATTTCACCTCTAATGGGATGAGTGCCAGGGAGCAGCCTCACGTGTGTGTCACTTGTGTCTTCTGCAAACTCATCCCCTCTGATGTTCTTCTAGGTCCTTCCCATTGTCTGGGATGGGCTTTCTTCTCTAGGTGGCAGGAAGCAACTTAAATCAATCCTGCAATCTTCCTCTTTTAAGACTCTTGTTAAAAATTGTGCTGAAAACTTTTGAAAATTGTAAAGCACTATAAAATTGAAAGAGTCTTTCATTCAATTAAAAAAAAGTTAATAAAACAATTGTGCTCAGTCTTTCAAGGTCTGGCCCTTGATCTCTCAAGGGAGGCTTTTTTCCCCCAGAAGAATGTTTGTAATGAGGAAATTTGAAAATTTTCCTATTAACCTCTAATTTTGATATAATTTCAGACTTAAAGTCTGAAAAGTATGAAGAATTCTCTAATACCCTTTATACAGATTCTCCAGGTGTTAACATTTACCACATCCTCTGTCTTCCTGTCCACAAGAGGACACACACATGCACACAAATCAGGAAATAAGTATCGATATAATACTATTATCCAATTGACAGACTTTCTTCATGCTTTGCCAGTTGTCACACTAAAATCCTTTCTAGCAAAAGAAAATTCAATATAATGCATTGCATTTAATTGTCATGTCTCTTTAGTCATTCTTTGTGTTTTATGACGTTAGCATTTTGGAAGATTATAGGCCTGTTATTTTGTAGACTGTTGCCCAGTTTGGGTTTGTTTATGTTTCCATATATTGGGTTCAAGTTATGCATTTTTGGCAGAAATCCCACAGAAGTGGTACTGTGTTCTTCTCCATGAATCATATCAGGAAATGCATGATGTTGATTGTTCCGTCACTGATGATGTTAACTTTGATCATTTGATTAAGGTGGTGTCTGCCAGGTTTCTGCACTGTAAAGTTACCATTTTTCTTTTTGTACTGAATAAGTTATCTCATGGAAGGATACTCTGAGGCTATTATCCTGTTATTCTTCAAACTTTCACCCATGAGTTTTATTATCCATTGATGATTCCTACCTGAATCAATTATTATTATGATGGTTACCAAATGGTTATTTTCTAATTCCATCATTTCTTCTACATTAATTAGAATGTTTTTTGACTATAAGGAAGAGCTTTCTAATGGAGGACTTTTGGAATTTAGAAAATGCTTTTTCTCTCTCAAGGAGTTGAGCTCCTGCAGTTGAATGTCTGCCTTTTACAACTGTTGTCTTTTAAACTCAAGACTGAGCTATGAGGCCTTTGTTCTAGGCTGTACCCATCTTCTGTCTGAGGCAATGACTACCCTGCGACTATGGGTGAAGAGCCACAGGGTCACACGAATGATTTCAGCCTAGGAAAAACCTCTGGGTTTAAAAGCTTCAGTATCACCTTGCTATAATAGTTTTTAGTATTGCAAGTTTTCATATTTTTGTGTCTTTCTAGGTACTTTAGTTTAAAATTGAGTGAAACTGCTATTAAAGAGGAATTATGTGATCAAAAATAAATATATTACCACTTTGGATATGTGATGCAACTTAAACCAATAACAGAACGTTGCCAAATTGCTGGCTCGATGAGCCTGCTTTAATGAATATTTTAAGACCCCTAATAGTAGTGGTTGCAAAACAATTAAAGTTTGAAAAGCACTTTAAACCTTTTTGCTTTTTGAGTAGCTTACCCCTCTCCTTGCAAGGCTTATACCACTAATTTGCTAGATTAACTCATCAAAGATTGTACAAGGATTATGGTTGTAATGTCAATCCTGGTGATGCCAGATTATTATGAATTCCAAATTAGGGAATTGGATTGATGAATTTTTTTTTACTGTCAGAAGTTGTACGTTATGAATTGGTGGTGTTTGTGTGTTAGGGTGAATGTATCTTGCCTGTATTGTCTCCGAGTAGATGCTTGAATCAGGTTTGTTTCAGAGGTAGGTGATGAATCCTGTAGTGTCTTCAAGACTTGTCACGTTTTCTTAAGCAAAAACACTTCTGTGCCATAACCTGGCAGATTCTCTCATATTAAGGCAAAGTGATATTTATTTATGTTAGCAGTTTCTTGTAAATATACAGTGTCTGAAGTAGCTAGTAGAACATGAAACAAATTACATTAAACAAAAAGAGTTAAAAACCACAATTTCCTAATTTCTTTATGGGTATTATCCCAAGAGAATAAATAAAAGAAAAGAAGGCTAACTGCTAAGTGTCTCCCCAGTTTTCTCTCTGAAACACATTCTGTTATTTTAATGACTGACCCTATATCTGAAATCTAAACCTTGGGGATCTAAAATAAAAACACAAAGTTATGCAGTGTGTACATTCTCCGTATTAAGAATATTAGACTTTGGGTACATTATCTCCAGTTAATTAATGTGATATTTTAGTGCAACCTTGTACATCCTCTTTGCACAGAAGTTCTAGGGAAATTCTGTTGATTATCTTGATTGCTCTGTTTTGAGTGGCTCATGTGTACAAAGATGATTATCATTTCTACCTGAAAGTGACATTGTCTTTTTTTTTTTGAAAGTGACATTGTCTTAAGAAACGTGTGTGGAGGGAATTGAGGAATATTGCAGAGAACATTAGGTCTTATCTTTTTTAAAACAACTGTTCACATAAACAATTCCTTATTTATTTTGTGTGTATTGAACACGTGATTTTTAAATCAATAGATCCTTCTTGCTATGAGCACGAAGATACCTTTTTCTCTGTGTTTCACACTCAAGTCCCTCCAGAAGACTATGAAAACTGTATACAGAATGTCAATAAAGGTATGTGATTTTACATACTGTCACAAGAAGATACTAGCAGTATGTAGAAATATTCACAGATGAAACGATTTGATGTGATTTAATTCAGTGGTGAGTGGAAGTAGGTGAGGTTATAGATGAAACAAGATTGGTCATTATTGAAGTTAGTTGTTGAGGGTTCATTATACCAGTCTTTCTACTTTTGGATTGAAATTTTGTATAATAAAGAGCTAAAGAAGATCTGGCTGCAAGTAATAGAAACCTAGCTTTAAGTGAAAAAGAAAATTTATGGAAAGAATCCGGCTGGTAGACAGCTTCTTTGATTCCCAAGAGCATATCCTGTGGCTAGTCATTGAGAGGGCAATTCAATTCCTAAATCCTAGAGAAGAGACCAACTGATCTGTCTTGGGTTAGGTGCCCACCCTTGGTTCAATCAACTCATCCAACCTAGCAAGGGTTGGGGTCACTATAGGAACATGGCAGCTTCTACCCTGGATCACTACCAGGATGGAGAGAAGAGGACATTTCTAGGGAGATAATTCCTACCAGACAATCTAAGGTTTAATCCTATAATTTATTAAAAGTATATTTTAAAGAAACTATTATAAATGTAGACAGAGATGCATTTAATTTGATTTATTTTAATGTATTGTTTAAGAGAATATGAAACTTCAGCTGAATGAATAGACTTCATATTTCAACTTAAAAGACTGTATACAATTTGGATTATGGGAAAAAGTTATATATTTTATATCTAAGAAGGCCACTCTCCAAAAAAGTAAATCATACTTTAACTATTGATAGTTTATTAAAAAAATCATGTTATTGATTAAAGAATAAAACCCCAATTATAAAGGATAGAAAAGTAAAACTTTTCTTTTGTCTGAAAAGAAATTAAATCCAGAGATCTCACCCTTTTCCTTGTTCTTTTCAGCTAGTGTTATCAACATTTATTCTTTAATTATGAAATTTATACTGAATCTTTGATAATAAGCTGTAAATACACCAATTGACTAGCTCCCTTAATCCTTTTTTATTGAAGTAACCTCTCTCATAAAACAAAGGTAACTTTTAAGTAAGCCTTGTCTACATTGAGCTACTGGCTAGTGTTTTTTTCTGTTGGACTTTAATATGGCAATTTATCCTATTTTGTAAGGTGGACTCCATTTCTCATTTAAGAGGACTCTTCTTTCTGTGTATTTTTAGAGCTTTAATGAAGGATTCACATAATTTTTTAAAAAATGCTTTAAATGTGACTACAATGAAAACAAGATATTTTATAAAGGGGATAAGAGTCCACAAGTATTTTTCTTACTCTTGTCTTGAGTACTCAAGGTCTGAACAACTCGGAGGTTGACTCAAATCTCTTTTCAAAGGTTGAGAAAAACTGATAAATTGAAATGGGTTTTAGGGGTTTGTGCAGATAGGATGTGGAACATCCAGGACACTTATGCCCAGACTTTGCTTAAAAGACAGGGTTGAACAAAAAGTTTATTCTGAGAGGGTGATGGCAAATTAACAGAGTAGCGGGTAATGACTCTAGCCTTACGGAAAGTTTTATTTCATATAAAGACTAAAATAAAATATATTTTAAAATTCCCATGACATCAGAGATTTCTCCTTTACATATATCACTTGAAGTTCTTTTTGTGTTTCCCGTGATTCCAAAGGAATCAGCATAAGAAGTTTGATACAGGATAATGAATAACAAAAGAAGTTTTATGAGAACTTCATGGCAAATTATGGGAACACATTTATCTTTTTAAGAATAAATCTCTGGGGAATTCCCTGGTGGTCCAGTGGTTAGGGCTCTGCGCTTCCACTGCAGGGGACACGGGTTTGATCCCTGGTCGGGGAACTAAGATCCTGAAAGGCGTGTGGCACAGCCAAAAAAAAAAAAATCTCTGTATGTATTAAGTTTCTGGATCTGGAATTTAGAAGTACTTCTATGTGTGTTTTATTTCTTATATATCCTAATATATGCTTAAGGTAAAATTTTAGCATAATGGACAATTATAATTCTGAAAAAATTTTGAACTTTCTTAATATTAGATTTTACGTATGGTGTGGAAAGAAATGAGTCATTGATCAAAGCAGAAAAGAAACCTTTCTCAAATACAGAAAAGATTGAGCTCAGGGGTAAACACAGCCAGGATTTTATTAAGCGAAACATTGAGGTATGTACTTAGAAATTTAGAAGCCAGAATGTGGGATGAAGTGAGCTGCAAGCATGGAAGTAGTTGTGTTCATTGTCTTTAAATATTTTTTTGACCATGATGCACGTGTATGTAATTGAAACACTATATACAACTGATAGAAAAGTTTTATGAGCCAGTACTTAACTTCACTATTTTCTTCTCCATCCTATCCTATTCTATCCCATCCTACCCCTTTTAAAATTGCTAGCTGCAACTTACTACATTTGTTTCATTATGCAGAAATGAATCTGGTTCCTGCAGTTTGAAAAACATTTATTTAGAAAATAGTTTTGGACAGTGTTTCCCAGATTTTAAATTGCATATTTAAAATCAATTTTAAAATTGTTTTATTAAAGTAATGAGACTGATTTTATAACTGGTGCATTTAGAAATTTGAATGGAAAATTCTCCTGGCAGAGTTGGAGAGGCCAACTGGTTGTCTGCCCACTGCCCCTGCCCCTTCCGCCCAACTCTAGCAGAGCTTCCTGGCAGCCTGTCACTTGTCTCTTGCTCTGATTAGCTCCCTGATTTAGGGGCTCAACCTTGGTCTTACAGGCCCTGCGGTCTCACTTGGTTTGTCCTTAAGGCAGACTTAGACTAACTAAGGGCACAAGAACTCCTGTATTAGACCAGAATGCGAATTAATTTATAGCAAGAAATGTAAGTATGGGACAGAGGCTCATGGCAAACCACTCAGGCAGTTAAGTCACTAGAAAGCTACATTGGTGAGTGTGAAGTGTTAAGAGGAGAGAGTTAAATAATTCTTCATAGTTCAAGCCTGATGCTTTTTCCACAATTAGCACGTCTTTTCCAGGCAGACTGGATTCTGGGTCAGCCTGCTGCTGTGAGGACTGACCTCTGGGACTCTCGATTTTTCTGTGCTCCATCATTGTATGATCTGAAGGAGACCTTCTCCAGCTTGCTCTGTCTCTTTGTTCTGGCTCATTGTATGTTGATTTAGTGTTTAATTTTCCAAGAGCAGTAAGGTTTTCCCCATATCCAAGTTCTTGCTGACACAGACAGCAGCTCCACCATATATTTCCCTTTTAACAATAGTAACTGAATCTTATTTAAACTCCTGATATGATATTCTTGAAATTTAAAAGCAGTTTCATTTAGTGAATATATGCCACATAGGAAGTGGTAAGATTCCTTCCAAATGTCTCAGCAAATATGTTTTTGCATTGATACATATTATATAAAGAGAGGTTTGCAAACTGCCCATGTTTTAATTTTAAATAAAATGTTTGTTGAAATGGTTGAATATCTTTGCTTGGAGAATGGACCTCTATCAAAAATTTGGCATAAAGTAAAATTACCTAGCAAATGAAAATGCCTAATCTCACAAATTTTACCTTAGTGTTTCTGTATTGTAGAAGCCTCAGGTCCCATTTTTATTTTTCCTGAACTATGAATTGCTTTGAATATTTAATATTTTCCATTCATACATTCTGTAGTTGGCCAAGAATTCAGGACAACCAGTAGTTATGATTGACAGAGAGAAGAAAAGGCTGGTTGAACTTTTGAAGGACTTGGATAACAGTGATTCGGGGCTGTCCAGTTCTGAGGTAAGTAAACTCTGATATTCCACAAGCTCTACACTTCTTAATTTTTATTTCTTTAATCATGTTATTGACCCATTAGCATAAATTTATAGTAATTTTTCAAATTATGGAACAATATTTCTGACTTTAAAAAATCCCGTTTTGGGCTTCCCTGGTGGCGCAGTGGTTGAGAGTCCACCTGCCGATGCAGGGGACATGGGTTCGTGCCACGGTCCGGGAGGATCCCACATGCCACGGAGTGGCTGGGCCTGTGAGCCGTGGTCGCTGAGCCTGCGCATCCGGAGCCTGTGCTCTGCAACGGGAGAGGCTGCAACAGTGATAGTCCTGTGAACCGCAAAAAAAAAAAAAAAAAATCCCATTTTACAAATTTATTTTTATCTAAATTTTCCAATTTATTCTTGCCGATTCATTATTGACTCTCCCATGTCATTATAAGAGTGACGACAATTGGCTTTCACAATAATAACCTCTGCCTATGATGTGATGGGCTTGGTCATTGATGACACAGAATTGTGTTTCTCTGGATCCTTTTATTTTGGACATTTCTTATTATCCCTAAACTGGTTCCATGATATTTTAGCGAAGTCTTCAGTAATCCTGAAGAGCACCATCCTGCTCCTGCCCAGGTACCGCTGGGCATCTAGTTCCGTGAAGAGTCTGGGGCGAGCACAGACTGAGTGTAAGGAGGGGAAAAGCGTGAATCCAGGGTGCGAATGCAGGTATTTATAGGGCCCAGACAAGCACATAAGGAGTGCAGTGGCTCAGCGTTTGTGCTTGTTTGCATACTAAACTTATAGCCATATTCTTTTTATTTATTTATTTTTTAAAGTTATTTCTGAGATATACATTTTAAAGTAATAACTAGAATTCTTATAACATTATATCAGAACATATAAGATTTTTAGAAATTTCATGTAATATCTGAAACATTTATATTAACATATTTCCATACAAATAACCCAAAGAAAGTTTAGTATTAGGTTTTTTTTTGTTGTTTGTTTGTTTATACTGCAGGTTCTTATTAGTCATCAATTTTATACACATCAGTATATACATGTCAATCCCAATCGCCCAATTCAGCACACCACCATCCCCACCCCACCGCGGTTTTCCCCCCTTGGTGTCCATACGTTTGTTCTCTACATCTGTGTCTCTATTTCTGCCCTGCAAACTGGTTCATCTGTACCATTTTTCTAGGTTCCACATACATGCGTTAATATACGATATTTGTTTTTCTCTTTCTGACTTACTTCACTCTGTATGACCGTCTCTAGGTCCATCCACGTCTCAACAGATGACTCAATTTCGTTCCTTTTTATGACTGAGTAATATTCCATTGTATATATGTACCACAACTTCTTTATCCATTCGTCTGTCGATGGGCATTTAGGTTGCTTCCATGACCTGGCTATTGTAATATTCTTACTTCTACAAAGAAATACATTCTCCTGTGTGCCTTGAAGCTCTTAGCCTTGTCGTCTAGTTTTTATTCCCCTATGTTTAATAGAGATGATGTGATAAATGCTGCTGGCACCCTGCCCAGATCCCTTTTACCTGGCACATGTGTGCATCCATCCCCCTGCCCTGTGCCAAGGGTGCACAGCTGCCTCCTTCCCTGGAGAATTGCCCTGGGCTAAATGGGAGCTGACCAGCTCAGGACAGCAGCCCCCGCCTCCCCTCACATCCCCTCACCTTGAGATGGGATTAGCTGTGCCCTGCAGTTTGTCCTCCACCTCTTCCCCAGGGGTCACCCAGTCTTCAGCTGAGACCATATCCTCGCCTAGCTTTGTTTCCTTGTCCTAGCCTGCTCCCCTCACACCCCTAATCCTGAAAGCATCCCCCCACTAAGTCACTTAAACAAGAATCTCTGCCTCAGGTTCCAGATCTAGGGAACCCAGCCTAAGACGTGTAGGTTCAGAGGGTAGTTTTTGCTCTGGGTAAAAAGCAGAGCATGTGCAGCAATATCTGTAGCCATTGGGGGAGAGTGTGCTGGTCCGTGGCTGCTGCTGCATGGAAATCCTGCCCAGGGCTGCCTGGATCCTCCAATTCGTCAAGAGAAGCTAGAAATTCAGATGAAAAGAAAAAAAATAACAGTTCTCTATCATTCCTACTCCAGGAAAGGCCAGTGTTGTACTGGTATATATTCCTCCAGGTTATGTATTCACAGCTGACACTGTGGTCTGTAGAAATGGAGTCTCCAGACACTGCAGGTGGTAGCGGAGAGTGGTTGTGTGTGCTGGCTTTGGCAGTCTGTTGTCACCTGGGCTAGAATGCAGGATCCATCATTTCTCAGTTCTGTCACCTTGGGAAGTTATTTCTCTTCACCTCAGTTTCCCCCTAGTTCTGGAGAGAAATCTAAAGTGGTCTCACTGGCCTAGGATCAGTGTTGGCAGGGGGCTGCATTCCTCTCTGGAGGTCCTTCAGTAATTAATTAGTCTCCAAAATCTTATATCTTAACAGGAAAGGATCTTTGGTATGCTTTTATTTCCCTCTTCTCCCCTTTCCTCGCCTCCAGAATGTATTGAAATCACCTGGAATTTTAGTTCCAGGATGTTAGAAGTTTTTCCCTTTATTTAATAAATTAATAAATTATTTATGGCTGTGTTGGGTCTTCATTGCTGCGCGCGGGCTTTCTCTAGCTGTGGTGAGTGGGGGCTACTCTTTGTTGCGATGCACGGGCTTCTCATTGCGGTGGCTTCTCTTGTTGTGGAGCATGGGCTCTAGGCGCACAGGCTTCAGTAGTTGTGGCACGTGGGCTCAGTAGTTGTGGCTCGTGGGCTCTAGAGCTCAGGCTCAGCAGCTGTGGTGCACGGGCTTAGTTGCTCCGTGGCATGTGGGATCCTCCCGGGCCAGGGCTCGAACCTGTGTCCCTTGCATTGGCAGGCAGATTCCTAACCACTGCACCACCAGGGAAGCCCAGAAGTTTTTCCTGTTTTTTTTTTTTTTGCGATACGTGGGCCTCTCCCGTTGCGGAGCACAGGCTCCGGACACGCAGGCTCAGCCATCACGGCTCACGGGCCCAGTCGCTCCACGGCATGTGGGATCTTCCCGGACCAGGGCATGAACCCGCATCCCCTGCATCAGCAGGCGGACTCTCAACCACTGTGCCACCAGGGAAGCCCCCAAGTTTTTCCTTTTAAAAACAGTATGCGTCTTATATTTTAGGAATCTTTCTCAATAGTAGCCAAATTTTTAAATCACGTCATTACCTGTGTATTTAAGCTCAACTAATTGTTTATTTGTACAAATCGTTTTTCCTGAGTCATTCTTCTGGAATTAAAAAAAAATTTCCCTGAAATAATAATGGTGTGTAGATAATTTTTTGAGTCTTTGCCTATTCAAAAATTTATTTTTCCCTCATTTGAATGATAGTTTCAAATGGTGGTAGGTAAATCCTAGATGCAAAATCCTTTCTTTCTGGAAGCATCTAGGATTTTCTCTTTATTTTTGAGTTCACAGATTTTATCAGAATGTATTTTATGTGTGTCTTTAAAAACATTTTTGTTCCTGCATGGTACCTTGTAGGTAGACCCTTTTTATCTGAAGGTTCAAGTCTTTTTTTCTGTGCAGAAAATTATCTTATTTCTTCCCTTCTATCATCTCTTTTTCTTTCCTTTTGGGCTTCCTATAAAGTGGGATATCAGTTGGGAATGGGATTGACTTCAGGTAACAGAAAACTTTATAAACAATGACTTCAGCAAGAAGTTTATTTTTTTCAGTAACAAGAAATCCAGGTATAAGTACCTAATGTCTTTTGATCTTCTTGACCCATGTTTGTAGTGTGGTTTTGTTTTTAGGTGTGCAAGATTGCTGCTATATCTGTATGTAATGTGTTAATTTTCCAGGCAGAAAGAAAGGGGGAAGGGGAAGGAGAAAAGAGACTCCTCTGTAGTTTTGCCTTTTCCTTTGGGAAGATGTGGTGTCCCCACGACTTCCACCTGCATCTCACTGGCCAAGCTGTCACGTAGTCATTTGTTTCATACAGCTCTGCAAATGAGACTGGGGATTCAAGTATTTCATTTTCTCTTTTTTTGTGGCAGAGGAAGGCAAGAAAGGAGGAGATTGGAAAAGGGGACTAGGTCAGTCAATGTACCAGCCCATAGATGGGTATAGAATCTCCTGGATCTCTCCTCCAGGTCTTAAAATATTTTTCTCATAATCTTTATCTTTTTTGTCATTTTGCTCATATAAGTTCATTTTACGGTTTTCCTAGTTGGGTTTCAAACATCTCTATTCTGCTACTTAGCTATGCAGCCCTCTTTTGAGATTGTTGTTGTTATTTTTACAGTTACTATTGTTTTTAAACTAATATTTGCTGAGAGTTCTTTCTGTAAGTCCTCTGAGGAGAAAGTATACTTTCTTATTACCTGATGTGGGAGATAGACATTTTATATGGAGATTCTATGAAGCCATATAGGTGGTGGCACATGTTGGAATAGAGATGTAGTGGAGGAAGATGTGAATATGGCAGGAAGCATTTAGGAACACTTTGAGGAAGGGACCGAGCTACTGTTCTCAAACTGTATGAAACTTCTTGCCACGCTTCACATTTGCTGTAGTCTTTCAAGCGTCTGTGTGCCCATTTCTTTATGGAGTGCTCCGCCACTTCGTCTCTGACAGATCCAACGTAAAGAGGATGACTAACATGATAGTTATGTTTGAATTCCACAGAACTCATTTCCGCTGGTTGTTCCTTACAGTGGTATGTTTGACTGTATGGATGTAATATTCTCTTAAATTTCTCTAGGATAGGTAGAATTTTTTAAAGATTTCCTCCTAGTTAGGGAACTCACACTTGCAACTAATGGCTCTCCCCAACGCTGGAAGCCTCTACTGTCACCCTTCCCAACAAAATGGATTTTGCATCAGATCTTAAATTACTCACGTCTAAATCAGTATTGAATGGGTGAGTGTGATTGAGGACCCTCAATACTGGTGTGAACCCTAGCTGTAAAGCAGGGTGGTGCAGAGCATTTCCTGGGTTCTGTCTTAGGGAGACAAGACTCCTACACATTGCAAGTCTAGACAGAAACACACATACCGTCTACTACATGTTACACATAATTTGCTTCTGTAACAGCATAAAGCATGAAACATTTAAATTTCTGTTGAATTTAATCTGCCATGTTCTTTTACCTCCAGTGTCATTAAAAAGAATTCCATTCAAACACGAATTTAAAATTTATTAACCAATATTTAGTCATTGATTCCATTGTTTTTTTTTTTTTCGTCTGATTCTTTTTTTCTCTTTTAGGTCATACAGTATTTATATCACTTTTATTTAGGAAAAATTAATCAGAGTTTCTTATTTGTGAGTAGTTAGGTTTTTTTTTTAATAATTATGTATAACTTTCATATGCCAACTTGCAAGTATATTTAACATGTTTATTACTGTATCATATCCATATATGGATATAGTGTGGTCTCCCTTTCTCCCTATTTTCAGACATTTCGGCTTTTTGCAGTTACTCTTTTTTGTAAGTAACATGGCAAAAACCAATTTAGTCAGGGTTCTAGGTTGCAAGAAACAGAGGCAGATTTTGGTTAAAAAAACAAAACGAATTTATTGGAAGACTTGAGTAGCTCACAGACACAGTGGGAAGTTTGGAGGACCGGGCTTGTAAACCAGGCAGTTATCAAGGTAGGCAGAAAAATGGCCCTAGAAACTCCTGAGAATCAGTCTGGTTCGGAGCTGCACCGAGGCCACCAGACACCCCCGATAATGATCACTGCTGCCACCTTCACTGCTATCAACACTGGATCCTCACTGCTACTGCTGTCACCATTAATCACTTCCCCACTTTCCCTGCATCTCTGAATCTCTCTCTCTCCCTCAAGAGTCAAAGTCCAGGGTGTTCCCTTCTGATTGGCTGAATCTAGGTCATTTGCTTGTCTTCTTGATGCCAGTGGGTAGGGAGAAGGAGTGTCTGGTGGGTACCTGTTCCCTAGAGAGACTCATGCAGTATTTGGTTTCACTGAAGCAGAAAGGGAGATTGGATGCTGGGGCCAGGAAGAGACAGTGTAAGTCTTTCTGCGTAAGTTTTTGCATGTACTTCTTCTGGTTACCACTTAGGGTTTGATCCCTGGTATTAGAGTCATGAAACCAAAGTGTGTGTTGCCCTCCATCTGCCCCTTTATTCTTAGTGTTCTTCATGATCCTCCTTGTGCTACATGCTTCCCTTTGTGACCTCACCCATTCCCATGGTCTAAGGGTTTGAACCATTATAGAATTATGGGTGAGTCCAAAGTACTTATTTACAATCCAGGTCTCTATCTTGAACTTCAGACAAACATATTTAACTACCTAACATAATCTGTGGATATCCTGGGGACATCTGTGAATATCAGAAGGCCCCAAACAGAATTCATCATCATCATTTTCCTCCTCAAACCTACCATGTCTCTGGTATTCCCTAGTTTGGTCCTTATGACCACCATCCCCCTAGCTGATGAAATCAGGAATTTGGTTTTTATCCTTGATCCTTACTCCTCCCTTCATTCTTCCATCAAATTGTCTCCAGATTCTGTAAACTCTGCTTCCTAAGTATCTCTGGAATTGGTCCTGTGTGCTTCATTCCCAGGAAACATTCCGACTTCAGGCGCTCATCACTTTTCTTGTAGGTTACGGCTTTTGCTTCTTAACTGGATTTTCTGCCTCCAGTCTCACCCTCACCTGCTCCGGTTTTAAAGTGCACAGCCGATTGTGTTGTTTCTCTAAGATGCTACTAAGATTATTTCCTTTAGGAAGCATTCTCCAAACACGTTTTCTCCTTGCCCCTTCCTGTTAACAGAGGTTAGTTGACCCTCCCTGTTCTCCATGGAACCCTGGGTTTGCCAGCACTTTTCACACCTTGTTAAAATCTTTGCTGTCCAGAGACTGAGAACTCCTGAGGGCAGGAACGTGTGAGATTCATATTGAATCACCAGTGCCCAGTGTAATGCCTCCCCATAGGAGGCACACAGTACGAGGATTTTTTTTTTTTTTTTTTTTTTTTTTTGGGGTATGCGGGCCTCTCACTGTTGTGGCCTCTCCCGTTGCGGAGCACAGGCTCCGGATGCGCAGGCTCAGCGGCCATGGCTCACGCGCCCAGCCGCCCCGCGGCATGTGGGATCTTCGCGGACCGGGGCACGAACCCGTGTCCCCTGCATCGGCAGGCGGACTCTCAACCACTGCGCCACCAGGGAAGCCCAGTACGAGGATTTTGAATGAATGTTATGAATGGCTTTTAACCCATTAAGAAACTAATGTTAGTTCAATAACGAGTTAGATGAACAGGTTTTTTTTTTTAAAAATATTTATTTATTCGGCTGCATCGGGTCTAAGTTGTAGCACGCAGGATCTTTAATTGCGGCGTGCGGGATCTAGCTCCCTGACCAGAAATCGAACCTGGGCCCCCTGCATGTGGAGTGTGGAGTCTTAGCCACAGGACCACCAGGGAAGTCCCTAGATGACCAGTTATGATCATGAAACCCAAACAACCGAGTCTATGTTACTTTTCAGGGACAAATTTTGAAAGTAACATGTCCGTTACAGGGTAAACATGATTTCTTCCTTATTCAACATGTCACAAACCACTTTTTTCAAAGTGGAGAAATGAGAATGTTATGAGACCCAGACTGTGAGGCTAAGAGAGTTATTCCGTAGGGTAGAGCGCCCACAAAAGGTAAGCAGATACTTTACGCAGAGTTGGCAGATAATAAAACCTTAAACTATTGGATTTTTTTTCTTGCACTATCCCAAGTTAATTCTGTTTTTTTAATATTTGTTTTGTTTTTTATTTGTTTTTGTGAGGAGCACTGATGTAGCGGTCTGAAAGGTATATTTTGGAAAAAAAAATGTAGCATAAGAATGACCTGGTGATCCTTGTTTCCTTTTAGGGAGATCAGTCTGGCTGGCTGGTCCCGGGAGAAGGATACACACCTGCAGTCACCCAGCATGAGCAGCTTGCTAAAATTGATACAAAACTCCAAGAACTTTCTGCCATTTACCCAACAATTTCCAGCTCTTCTCCAAGACCTGAACTTCAGAATGATGAGGTATGTTTAACTCTAGAGCCCATAGGCTGTTCAGGTTTATGTGTGCTAAAGCTAGTTCACATAATATGACAATCTGCTTGTTAACTAAAGAGGTTTCATCCCAGTTGCCTTTTCAGTGGCTGCAACTGCAGTGATAGTGATTTCTACAACAGTGTCTATTTTCCTTTGCCAGTTTCCACTTTCTATTCATTTTTTTTCAGTTGGTAATTTGCTGAGATGGGGTGAAATATTTATTTTAATATTGTTATATCTTTATGATATAAGCTATGCTTGATCATGATCAGGAGAGAGGAGAGGGAAGAGAATAGATACAGCACTCCTTAGTCCTTTGAGAGCTTTACTTCTTTTTGTTCCTTTGGTTCTAGGTGGTAGCGGTGGCAGTCACCTGTCCCTTACTCTGACACATTCTTCTAGCTCCTTTGATTTACCAGCAAGCAGTGAAGTTCACTCTGTTGATAACTTCTCTCCTGTGAGAATTTTGAAATGAGTATGTTTCCTTTCTTGATAGTTCCCTCAAATATTCTTTTACAAAACTAACAGAGGGTGAAGAAAAATGGAAGGGTAACCACAGCTTTGGAGCAGTAAAATTCCTTTCTCCCCCTAATATTTCAGTACTTCGTGGGATCTAGTTTGGGGTTGGGTGGTAGTTTTTGCCTGAAGAGAAAATGACTGGTCTTTTGTTATTCCACTAACCCTCTACCAGTTTTGTAAACGTATCACCAAATCATTTTCTGTACAATATTAGATGCATGTGATTTTCCTGGTTTTTAAGAAGATTTAAATAATATCAGTAGCCTATAGGGAATAATTCTGCTTTATAGTCAGTCTTTTCTCCAACCTGTCAATTGAAGATTAGGGATCTGGGTTTGGATCAGTTGAAGCTACTTCAGAGGAAAGGCGCAGTGTTAAGATGTTCCAAAGAAAGTTTGGTTGTGATGGAACCTTACGGAGCCATCGCAGCTTCCTTAAATTATGTTCCTAAGGGCCAGGCACAACTGCCTCTGAGCCCTTTACACAGCAGTATGGTGGGAGTGGGAACCACTGTTTTCTGGATTGAGATCAGAGTTCTTGGAAGACAGAGAATTGGAATCTCTGTCCCTACCCAAATATACCGCAGGACTTTGATGCATCAACAGGTACGCTGCTAGTTTATTTATGTTACTGGGTGCCATTTCCCAAAAGGAGGAAGCCAGGATGGGGGAGTAAAATGGTTCAGGGATATTCTTTGTTCTTTTTGTGTTACAGCTGAGTTTTGTTGTTGTTGTTGTTATTGTTGTTAGATATCAAGGTTCGCTGAGATCTCAAAGCTGGATAGTGGTCCTAAAGATAGAAAATGTCTACTTTGTGACCATCAAATGTTATTCCTGAAAGAGAGACTGAGAATTTAGAGATTTGTTTAACCATTAGGACTTCTGATAAAGTATGACTGTGGTCATTGTCATCTCCGTCACATTTTCAGAGTTCACATTTATGGTTTAAACAAAATACTTAAAAAATAATCAAAGGGAAAACCAGTACATTACTTAGTTGTTACATACTGATATTATATATTTTTGTGTGAAACAGTATATTTAGAGAAAAGAGAAAACTGTATTTTGGGACTCCCACTGGCTGCAGAAACAGAAAAGTAACATCGTAGTTGTTGAAAAGAAATAATTAGTGCTTCTTGTATGCAAAAAAGAGTGTATTTTGAGGTTTCATTCAATTTCCTGTTGGCATTTCCTCATTTCTAACTAAAACCAGGATTGCATATTGAATTTTCAAGCCAAAAATGAAAACATGGCAAATTATTTTACGGATATTATTATTATTTTTTAACATCTTTATTGGAGTATAATTGCTTTAAAATGGTGTGTTAGTTTCTGCTGTATAACAAAGTGAATGAGCTATACATAAACATATATTCCCATATCTCCTCCCTCTTGCATCTCCCCACCAGCCTCCCTAGGTGGACACAAAGCACCGAGCTGATCTCCCTGTGCTATGTGGCTGCTTCCCACTAGCTATCTGTTTTACATTTGGTAGTGTATATATGTCCATGCCACTCTCTCACTTCATCCCAGCTTACCCTTCCCCCTTCCCGTGTCCTCAAGTCCATTCTCTACCTCTGCGTCTTTTTTTTTTTGCGGTACGCGGGCCTCTCACTGTTGTGGCCTCTCCCGTTGTGGAGCACAGGCTCCGGACGTGCAGGCTCAGCTGCCATGGCTCAAGGGCCCAGCTGCTCCGCGGCATGTGGGATCTTCCCAGACCGGGGCACGAACCTGTGTCCCCTGCATCGGCAGGTGGACTCTCAACCACTGCACCACCAGGGAAGCCCTATCTGTGTCTTTATTCCTTTCCTGCCAGGAGGTTCTTCAGAACCATTTTTTTTTTTTTTAGATTCCATATATTTGTTTAGCATACAGTATTTGTTTTTCTCTTTCTGACTTCACTCTGTATGACAGACTCTAGATCCACCCACCTCACTACAAATAACTCAATTTCGTTTCTTTTTATGGCTGAGTAATATTCCATTGTGTACATGTGTCACACCTTCTTTATCCATTCATCTGTCGAACACTTAGGTTGCTTCCATGTCCTGGCTATTGTAAATAGAGCGGCAGTGAACATTGTGGTACATGACTCTGTTTGAATTATGGTTTTCTCAGGGTATATGCCCTGTAGTGGGATTGCTGGGTTGTATGGTAGTTCTATTTTTAGTTTTCTAAGGAACCTCCATACTGTTCTCCATAGTGGCTGTATCAATTTACATTCCCACCAACAGTGCAAGAGGGTTCCCTTTTCTCCACATCCTCTCCAGCATTTATTGTTTGTAGACTTTTTGATGATGGCCATTCTGACTGGTGTGAGCTGATATCTCATTGTAGTTTTGATTTGCATTTCTCTAATGATTAATGATATTCAACATTTTTTCATGTGTTTGTTGGCCATCTGTATGTCCTCTTTGGAGAAATGTCTATTTAGGTCTTCTGCCCATTATTGGATTGGGTTTTTTGTTTTTTTGATATTGAGCTGCATGTGCTGCTTGTAAATTTTGGAGGTTATCTTTGTCAGTTGCTTCATTTGCAAATATTTTCTCCCAGTCTGAGGGTTGTCTTTTCGTCTTGTTTATGGTTTCCTTTGCTGTGCAAAAGCATTTACATTTCATTAGGTCCCATTTATTTATTTTTGTTTTTATTTCCATTTCTCTACAAGGTGGGCCAGAAAGGATCTTGCTGTGATTTATGTTTTAGAGTGTTCTGCCTGAGTTTTCCTCTAAGAGTTTGATCGTGTCTGGACTTACATTTAGGTCTTTAATCCATTTTGAGTTTACTTTTGTGTATGGTGTTAGGGAGTGTTCTAATTTCATTCTTTTACTTGTAGCTGTCCAATTTTCCCAGCACCACTTATTGAAGGGGCTGTCTTTTCTCCATTGTATATTCTTGCCTCCTTTATCAAAGATAAGGTGACCATATGTGTGTGTCTGTTTTTGTGCCAGTACCATACTTTCTTGATTACTGTAGCTTTGTAGTACAGTCTGAAGTCTGGAAGCCTGATTCCTCCAGCTCCATTTTTCTTTCTCAAGATTGCTTTGGCTATTCGGGGTCTTTTGTGTTTCCATACAAATTGTGAAATTTTTTGTTCTAGTTCTGTGAAAAATGGCATTGGTAGTTTGATAGGGATTGCATTGAATATGTAGATTGCTTTGGGTAGTATAGTCATTTTCACAATGTTGATTCTTCCAATCCAAGAGCATGGCATATCTCTCCATCTATTTGTATCATCTCTCTTTCATCAGTGTCTTATAATTTTCTGCATACAGGTCTTTTGTCTCCTTAGGTAAGTTTATTCCTAGGTATTTTATTCTTTTTTGTTGCAATGGTTTCAGATTTTTGAAACTATTGCAAGAAATGATTTCAAAAGTGATCTGAAAAATCACTTTCAGATTTTTCATCATTATTGTATAGGAATGCAAGAGATTTCTGTGCATTAATTTTGTATCCTGCTACTTTACCAAATTCATTGATTAGCTCTAGTAGTTTTCTGGTAGCATCTTTACGATTCTCTATGTATAGTATCATGTCATCTGCAAATAGTGACAGCTTTACTTCTTCTTTTCCAATTTGGATTCTTTTTATTTCTTTTTCTTCTCTGATTGATGTGGCTAAAACTTCCAAAACTATGATGAATAATAATGGTGAGAGTGGGCAACCTTGTCTTGTTCCTGATCTTAGTGGAAGTGGTTTCACTGTTTCACCATTGCGGACTATGTTGGCTGTGGGTTTGTAATATATGGCCTTTATTATGTTGAGGTAAGTTCACTCTGTGCCTACTTCCTGGCGGGTTTTTATCATAAATAGGTGTTGAATTTTGTCAGAAGCTTTCTCTGCATCTATTTAGATGATCATATGGTTTTTCTCCTTCAATTTGTCAATATGTGTATCACATTGATTGATTTGCATATATTGAAGAATCCTTGTATTCCTGGTATAAACCCCATTTGATCATGGTGTATGATCCTTTTAATGTGCTGTGGAATTCTGTTTGCTAGTATTTTGTTGAGGATTTTTGCATCTATGTTCATCAGTGGTTTTGTTCTGTAGTTTTCTTTTTTTGTGACATCTTTGTCTAGTTTTGGTATCAGGGTGATGGTGGCCTCATAGAATGAGTTTGGGAGTGTTCCTCCCTCTGCTGTATTTTGGAAGAGTTTGAGAAGGATAGGTGTTAGCTCCTTTCTAAATGTTTGATAGATTTCTCCTGTGAAGCCATCTGGTCCTGGGCTTTTGTTTGTTGGAAGATTTTTAATCACAGTTTCAATTTCAGTGCTTGTGATTGGTCTGTTCATAGTTTCTGTTTCTTTCTGGTTCAGTCTTGGAAGGTTATGCATTTCTAAGAATTTGTCCATTTCTTCCAGGTTGTCCATTTTATTGGCATAGAGCTGCTTGTAGTAACCTCTCATGATCCTTTGTAATTCTGCAGTGTCAGTTGTTACCTCCCCCTTTTCATTTCTAATTCTGTTG